CAACAAAGATATCATTTATTGACATGCTTTTTTTCCAAATTAACTTAACATATGAGTGTTTGAAATAATTTCTTTTTGTGACCAGACGTGGTTTCATATTACAGAATGATAGTATTATATACAGTGATAAAGGCTATGTCGATTAGCATTGCATTAAAAATATACTTTCCTTATAAAAAATACCTAAGATTGCTTGAAGAACACAGATAAACCATATATTTTGTGCAATCGTATGTTTATTGTCAAGTTTCATCAGTTAAAATTTTTCTATTTCTGTTGTGTGATTTATTCAGCGATAACTGGCTACCTTTGTCCATATTAGGGATTTCATGGAGCCTCCTCAGTAGTATTACTTTTGCCATGCATATATGGAGTTTCTGCTCGAGGGCGCCCTCCGGATTCCAATATGAATTAAACAGTCATTACATTATAGTGTGTATTCAGTAATGCTCACAACACCCTTTTTAGGGTAAAAATAGGAAAGATAATACTTTTCTCTAAAGAAACAGGATTCCCTGAATGAGTTAATATTGTGTTATTTAAGACACAATGTTGTCTGTTTTGCTCAGTTTTGCCAACAAAAATATAAAGACAATGCAGAACTGTTCGTCTCCGAGCGACACGCAGCTGCATTTAATTTCTTAATCCACGTTTTGAACGAATTGGGTGAACCATTTGGCATGTTGAACCATTGGCCATAGGCTCGTTGGATTTGAAGCGGTACTCCACTGATCGATCGGTGTACGACATCAAAGGACCGTGAGAGCAATTCAAAAGCATGCAGTCGTCTGCTCTCTAATCACTCTCACGGTACTTTGAAGACACCGATCGATCTGATGATTATGATCTGCTTCAAGTTGAACAAGCCTAATGATTCAATAGACCATTTACTTCACTCCTGAATGAATCAGCCATTTAAACGAATCAAATGGATGAATAAATGACCCGATGACTTAATCATTAAGACATTTACCACCACCTACTGGCAGTTTTAGTTTATTATTTAGAGTATCATTTCATTGAAGAAATAATTTCATATTTCCATAGTAATAATAATAAAATTACTAAAATAAATTATTAAAGGTTTAGTTCACCCACCCAAAAGTGACAATTGTGTCATTTACTCACCCTCATGGTCCAAAAGAGTATATGTAATCAATTTGATCAAACGAAATATTTCTTGCTGAAGCTACTTTTTGTAATGTCTGTTTGATGCTTTACACAGCAATGACTTTAAATTATCTTTTGGGAGTAATTTCTCAGCCAGATTTAATGTGCGATTAATTTTCGATTAATTGGATTAATTAATCGCCACATCATGTAATTAATTAGATAAAAAAATTTAATCGCTTACCAGCCCTAATATATATATATATATATATACATATGTATATATACG